TATATATATATATATATATATATATATATATATATATATATATATATATATATATATATATATATATATATATATATATATATATATATATATATATATATATATATATATATATATATATATATATATATATATATATATATATATATATATATATATATATATATATATATATATATATATATATATATATATATATATNTNTNTTTTTTTTTTTTTTGACTTGAATATTAAATTAAAATTATTGATCAAATGTAATAGTTAATTTGAAATTATATAAAATGAATTTTGTCATTCTTATGCATTCCAAAAGATCAACAAAAATCATTGGGTTGCATAAAACGAAGAAAATATATTTTGATATTTAGAAAAAAAAATAATAATAAAAAGCTCACTTACTATATGCTATGGTTAGTATAGAAATTTAAATTGAAGAATTAAATTTTTGAAATCAGTATTGAAAAATAAAATAGAAAAAAACCTTCGCCATTTGAGTAATGATCCTTTTGACAAAATACGCACTGACCAGTTGAATTTAAATTCATTCCCGGATTACATTTTGGACAAGGAATTTCATTACCAGCTTCTGGGATCTGCATATATAATAATTATTTAGCAATATAAAATGTGATCGCGTATTTTAATTTCAATTGCGATTTTAATTTTTTAATTTAATTAAATTCTAACTTCCTAATTCAATTTCAATTTTTTAATTTAAAATTTTAATTTTTTATTTTAATTTTAATTAATCATTTATTTCATTCAACTACTCATTGATACGATTGTTTCTTCGTTCTTTTCTTTTTTTTTTGCCGATTCGAATTTAAATTAAACACTTATTAATTAAATTTATAAATTTGAAATTAGGCAAAAAAAAAGGAGAAAAAGATAATTTTTAATTAACCTTAATAGCGCCACTTAAATCATCACGGCAAATATTTGGTTGCACTTTAACAAAAATTGCACGTGTTTTACCATTAACACATGGTTTTAAGACTGGATAATAATCATTTAATGAACAAATAGGTCGATTTATGCAAAATGCTGATCGAGAATCTGTAAAAAAAAAAAAAAATCTTTGAATGATTTTAATTTTATTTTGTCACTCATTATTTAATTATAATAAGCTAAATTTAATTTTCAATTTCAATCTTTATTCAACTTTTTTTTTTTGCAAATTAATTAGTGTCGAATTTTTCTAATCGTTTTTAGCAAAGTTTTCACCTCAAAAAAAAAAAGAAATCATTTCAAAAATGAAAATTTAATTTTAATTACTTTTAGCGTTTATAATTTACAATAACATACAAGAATATTGTGATATTGGACAACGGAAACATTGTTTGGATCCTGGTGGACTGTAATATCCAGCACGGCAAAATTGGCATTGTTTAGCACCGATACCACTGAATGTACCACCGGGACATTTGCTACATTTTTGTACTTGTTGTAAAACCTAAAAAAAAAAAAAAAAAAGAAACTAAATAAAAATTAAAAAAGAAAATGGAGAAAAAGTGAGGAGAAAACTAAAATTCTATTATCAAGAAATAAATAATATTTATTAATTGATTATTTGAAATTTATTCATCAATCAATATCTCTCAGTAACATTCAAATTGGGAATTGTATTACTGTAATGCAGTAATTGATTTATTTGTAGGTAATATGGAAGAATGTACGAATATATAGTCTTAGTGCTATTTCAAAATAAACGAAATGATAAGATAATTGATAAAAATTGAACGATTTGTAAATTTGATCAATCCGAGAATTTCTATTCATCAATCAAGAATTACTAATTACAAATTAATTACAATTTGAGAATTTAATCGGTTTGGTTGAAATTAAAAAAAAAAAATGAAATCATTTGATGATCAATGTTGTAAGTTTAGTTTGAAAAATTTACATCTGCAATGATCATATGTTATCATCTTATTCCATTACTAAATGAAAATATAATTTGGATTAAATTAATTTGATAAAAAAATTCCAATTAAAATTTTTTGTCTAATATAGAATGTAACATTTTTAATAGATGATTACCATAAATATCAATATGTGAGATTGTTATTACATCATTACTGTAAAAAGCATCCAAACGATAGTTCATCACTGTCCAACTGATAATGTTATGTCCATTTTTTAATTCAATCCGATCACGATGCCAATCACTACCATCCTCTGAATTTCCTTTCTTCAAGTTATTTCCCATTAATTGCTTCATTTCATCTCTGTAATTTGAATATGATTATGTATACAATTTGATATGCTGTTATATTCTGTTATTTTCAAATAAAATTTAATTTTTTTTAAAATTCAAAAAAACTTTTTTTTTCAGTAAAAATTCTGATATAACCGTAACCGTTCGTAAAAATTTTGCAACAAAATAAGAGCAAATCTGAAGCTTATTTGGCTATTTTATCGCAGTTCATCATACTATTTTAAAGTGTTTGTTAAAAATTTTTTTTTCAAAAAAAAAAGAGGAAAATATGGATACCTGTAGCTTCTACATTTGTCATTTCTTACGTCAACGTTAAAAATAAGCGCACGATTATTACGTGGTAAACGATAAACATATTCCACGTAACCAGGACGTACCAAATCAACGCTATAACTCAGCCTTGACAAACATGGCGAAGGAACATAAATTAATTCCGTATTTCGTACAATCCAACCTTTACTGAAATTTTTATAACAATCAGGAATATCAGGGATAGCTTTTATTAATTTTTAGCCTTTTATATGATACAAATTTTAATTCTCTTGGTTGCATAGCTTCTTTGTAATTAAAAAAAAAAAAGAAAGAAAAATGAATTTGCCAACTTCATCCTAATTTTATAGATGGTAAAAATAAAACTAACCGGAATGGGCAATCTTCCAATGATTCCGTATTTGTATCCATATTTCTTTCCGGTAAAATGTTAACATTTTCCACTTCAAAATTTGGTGGAATTTCATCAAATACATCATATCGAATACCATTACCCAAACTATATGTACCTAAAAATTATTTGAAATTAATTAAAAATAAATGTTAAATTCTTTGGTGGATTTCTCTTTTGTCTCTTTGCAAAATTTTTTCAAAATTTATCATGAGCTTTGTGGAATTATTCAATTCGTTAAAATTTATTAAAATAATTATTTGGGATAATTATTGTCAAGAAACCTTTTGGACAAAGTTGACAACGTTGAGTGACAATATCCAAATACATTCCGGGACTACATGTAAAAGCTGGAATAATGTAAACAATATAATCGTTCGTTTTTATTGATAAAATTAAAAGCAGAATTGAATTTTCATTAGATTTAATTACCCCAACATTCTATTCAAATGGATTAAATAAGGGATGAAAAAAATTTTCAGCATTAAAAACAGAAAAAAAAATAATTTTTTTCTAATTAAAATGATAATTATTAAAATGTTTAATTACACCACATAAATTAGAAATAAAAAATAGAAAAAAAATGAAGTTAAAAAGAAAACAAACAACAATTCACTCCTCGTATCGGTAATGGTACTCCATCATTACATTTTAAATTATTCATTTTTGGTATTGGAACACGCCATCGTTGATCATTATCATCACATTCCGTATATTCATATCGAAAATCATCAGGAATACATTTCTCACCAAATATATAGAATAATTTCATCAACCAAATAATCAATAATATAATATCTTAATAAAAATAATCATTGAATAATTCGTTTCCTTCTTTTTTCTTTTGAAAAAAAAAAAAAACATCATTAATACAATTAATGATGTTTATTATATAGCATAGTATAATATAATATAATATAATACCAAAATTCATCATTTCGAATGATTAATAATCAAAATATGATAAGTAAGCCATCGTAATGATGAGAATAAAATGTTTGATATCCATTGATTACATTTAATCTGGTTAATATTACCATTGTTTAACCAGAAAATACCTAAAATAACAATATATTTTAAATTTGCAATTAAATTTATGCTTTTTGTTCTACAAAAAGGACAAAAATTTAATGAATGAAATGAAAATATCGCATGAAAATTTAAATGAATGAGTTTAATACAGTACATTTAATTAATAATAACAATTAATAATAATAATAAATAATAATAATAATAATAATAATAATAATAATAATAA